ATATATTAATTATTACTAGAACAAATCGATTAATACGCTTGTTATTAATTCGGTTCCTTCAATGGTAGTAAATTTGGATTATTAATGCATGCGTCTCATGGTTAATAATCTAAGGGGAATTAATTATATTGATTAAGCCGATAAACCGCTTGTGTTGAGGTTATCAATCTCAATCGTTTTCATCTCAAGTTTAGTGCTACTATCGTGTTAATATACGGCGCATGTTCTATATTGACTCGGTAGTAAGTTTTATTAATGAACGCGTCTCGTTATTAATAACTACCCTCGATGAACTGGATATACTCCTCGATTGAGTATTCGAGAGGAAGATAGTTAAAGATATAACCGGGATCGACGAACATTTCATTAAGTGGATAAAAGCAAAACCAAGTCCTCATCACTATAAATTAAACTCATATAAGTCGTTCATCTTAGTGTTAATTAAATTAAATCAAATCAAACTTAAAACCCCCCTTGTTACTATTTATATAAAAGAAAAGTATTCCTTTCCCTGTGGATACGAACCTTACTTCACTATACTACGTATTAGTGTTGTATTGATAAATTATTTTGAGTGCATTTCACGACAAGTGCACGTCAAATTTGGCGCCGTTGCCGGGGAAAGGTAATTATTTTTCTTTTTATTTTATCTCATAAAAATCAAAAACAAAAAAAAATATAAAAAAAATTTACTTTTCTATTTTCTGAGCTTACATGAGTATATGGATACCAACACATTATCCTTAGAGAGTCAAATTTCCGTTTTGGCTTCTCTCATAAAGGAGTTTATCTTAAGCTCAGAAACTCAAGATGCCAAGACCTGCGATATTTGCATGTCTCACAGGCATATTGCGGATTTTTGCCCAAAGCTCCAAGAAGAATACCTCGCACAAATTAATTATGTACCTCACATGAGGTATGATCCATTCTCCAACTCTAACATGTCTACGGAGGACATGGTTCGAGCTCTTACTAACAGCGTGACCACCATGCAACAAAATATGGTGCAATTCCAAAATGAGACCAAGTCTAGCATTTTGAACTTGGAATCTCAAGTGAGTCAAATAGCCGGAGCCGTGAGTAGGCTTGAAGCAAGGGATTCGGGAAAACTTTCCTCTCAAATAGAATGTAATCCTAAACAACAAACTTTTGCAATCACATTGAAAAATGAGAAGGAAATGCAAGAGGAGATCCAAAATCTTGAAGAAGTAGAAGAAGAAAGAGACACGGAGCTCGAGCTAGTCAAAGAAGAGGATGAACCGTGTTTCAAGGTCAAATATCTATCCTTATCATTCTTTGAGGTACCCCCAACAGTTCTAAAAACTTCGAGGGAAACTCATAAAATTGAAAAGGATAAAGACATTTTTGAAATCTTCACAAAAATGGAGAGATCAAAACCTTTTCCATTGATCATGTTAATCGATAATTTCTTCCCCTCACTCTCACCACATGAATCAATGGAAATCTGGATATTTGATCCTGGAAAGATTTTCGAAGTGAAGAGTCAAAATAATTATCATGATCCAAGCTTGAACGATTGAACACAATGATGACGTCGTGCTGCGACGTTAAACGAGGCGCTTCTTGGGAGGCAACCCAAGCAAAGGTACATATTCTTTTCTCCCTCGTAGTTTTCATTTCAAAAAAAAAATACCAGGGGCACCATACCCGATCGGGTGTCACGTACTACCCGGTCGGGTATAAACAAAAAATATAAAGGGTGAAGCTCGGGTAACCAAATACTCGATCGACTCAGGAGTGGAAAATTATGAAGTACCCGATCGGACAGCTCCATATACCCGGTCGGGTATGTTAACTTTTTCTGGGAATATGTTCGCACCAAAACGCCCGATCGAGTATACCCCAACTCGATCGGGTAGGACCCCAGATTTTGAAGAAACACAGGAATACCTGATCGGGTATGTCAGGGTACCCGGTCGGGTACACGGTCTTTAAACCCAAATTAGCCACCCAAAACACTCATTTCATCTTCCCCAAACCTACAATTTCAAAGTTTCTTTCTCCCATTATTCCCTCAAAACTCCACCAAATCTTTCCAAACCAACGCCAAAATCTTCACCACATTTCCCTCTACACCCCATATCCATCAACACCACATTTCCCCCCCCCAAAAAAAAACTCAAGTCCAAAAATAATGCCTTACGCCCTCCCCCAAGTCCGAAATTTGGAACTCAAAATTCAAAGCATCAAGCGAAAATGGCACCAAAGAGAACTAAGGGCAAGAGTATTTCATCTAGAGCACCAGGTCAGCCCGGTTATGATGGAGACGAGCACTAGGGACAGTGCTTCGAGCTAAGTGAGGGAGAGTCACTCATCGGTGCGTACTTAAGTTTGATACCTTGTAAACTAGCATTATTTTCTTCGCAAAAATCTTTAAAAAAAATGAAATGCTAGTTAGGTTGAAAACCCAAAAAAATGGGCAATCTAAGCAAAAAAAAGGCTTACAAAAAATGATGAGTGAGTGGAGAGGTGGAAAAATAAAAGAGATGCTAGGATGAAAACCTGAAAACACTCCTAGGCAAAATGAGAGATACGAGAGATATATTTGTTTTTAGAGGACATCATTTAATCTCATGAAGATGAAAAGAGGAGATGAGGATAGAAGACCATGAAACCCAAGAAGATATTATTCTTTGAGCTAAACACTCAATGTAAAACTCATATGTTATCCTTGGTGGTCTTTTGCTTTTTCTGGTTAATTGTTGAACTTTTGAGGACTTGGAACTGTTAAACATTTGACTTTACTCGAGGATGAGTAAAGAAGCTAAGTGTGGGGGAGTTGATATTCATGTAATTTCCGATTGTATGTTTGTATTTTTAACTAGTTTTTATTATTTCTAGTTGAGGAAATTACACACTTTTGATGTAATACTTTATTTTCATATTTATTTGTAATTTGTTTAGATTAGGACTTTTCTGAGCTAAACAGGTCAAAGATCATCCCAGGGATCAAGATTGGACCTTAAAAGATCAAGGGAAGTGCAAGGAGGCAAGAAAGATTTCGATTTGGAAAAAATACTCATGTACCCGGTCGGGTATTGCCTATACCCGATCGGGTATTTGCTTGATTCGATTGTCCAAATCAAATCCGGGAACAAATGATCGTTGGAGCAAATTTTCGTAAAGATTTGTCACATACCCGATCGGGTATGCCGACACACCCGATCAGGTATGTCTAGAAAAGTGAATTTCTGGGAAATTTCCTAAGATACCCGGTCGGGTATCCTATATACCCGGTCGGGTATCAGACCCTGCAGCTCCCAAAAGCCTATAAATACATCCCTTTCCTTCACAATAAAATGACCAATTCACATATACTTCTTAGCTCAGTTTAGACAAGTTCTTTCTTTATATTTTCTTCATGTTTAGTCTCCAAATGAGGAGCTAAACTCTTCCATCTTGGTTTTGCTACTTTGAAGCTTAATGAATTTGTAAGTTGTGAGTTATTCTCTTTAATTTTCTTCCTTGAATATTAATTCTTCCTTTAAATACTATTTCTATATCAATGTTGGGGAGTGTTACTAAGATGACAATTAGTTAACATCTTGACATTAGTTATAGTAATAGTTATTTCTTCCTCTATGTTAATATTGGGGAGTGTTACTAACATGACAATTAGTTAACATCTTGATATTAACTATAGTAGAATTCATACTCTTTAATATTCTTCCTTGAGTATTAATTAATTCCTATTCATATTTCATATTAATATTTTGAGCATTACTTAAAGGATCAACTAGTTTTGTTTCATATATTAATTATTACTAGAACAAATCGATTAATACGCTTGTTATTAATTCGGTTCCTTCAATGGTAGTAAATTTGGATTATTAATGCATGCGTCTCATGGTTAATAATCTAAGGGGAATTAATTATATTGATTAAGCCGATAAACCGCTTGTGTTGAGGTTATCAATCTCAATCGTTTTCATCTCAAGTTTAGTGCTACTATCGTGTTAATATACGGCGCATGTTCTATATTGACTCGGTAGTAAGTTTTATTAATGAACGCGTCTCGTTATTAATAACTACCCTCGATGAACTGGATATACTCCTCGATTGAGTATTCGAGAGGAAGATAGTTAAAGATATAACCGGGATCGACGAACATTTCATTAAGTGGATAAAAGCAAAACCAAGTCCTCATCACTATAAATTAAACTCATATAAGTCGTTCATCTTAGTGTTAATTAAATTAAATCAAATCAAACTTAAAACCCCCCTTGTTACTATTTATATAAAAGAAAAGTATTCCTTTCCCTGTGGATACGAACCTTACTTCACTATACTACGTATTAGTGTTGTCTTGATAAATTATTTTGAGTGCATTTCACGACAAGTGCACGTCACCCATCCAGCATGCTCGCAGTAAGCATATTGATATTGATTATCATTTTGTTCGAGAACGTGTGGCTCATGGTGATCTCCTAGTGCAGTATGTTCCTACGAAGTTTCAGTTGGCTGACATCTGATCTTCACTAAGAGTTTGGCTCCTCAGCAATATTTGTTTTTACGAGACAATCTACGCGTAGTCCTCCTGCATAGATTGAGGGGGTGTAATAGTGTAGAATTAATTGTTATTAATTATTAGGAAGTATCCTAATTGTATTTGGAAACTTATTTCATTATATATATTCAGTCAGGGCTACCAGTCTGGTTAAACCTCTTCATTATTCTCACACAAACAAGTTTATAGTGTTGGGGCAATATCTCAAATATATATGATTGATATATGGTCGCTATATATAGTCACTTTGTCAAACTATTGAGTATTTGTGCATGTTTCAATAAATGAAATACTACTACTACAAAATTTTATTCTGATCTCCTTCAGTTTTTCCCTCTTCAAATTTCATTCTGCATCCAAACGGATCCTTAATGTTAGGATCTTTTACACACGTACATATGACCTATCTGGCCTATTAAATAAGGCTAAAAATTAATTTGGCAGAAGTATATTAGTCCAATTTTATTATTCTCCTTAAGCTAGCATACCTAGCTATGGCTTCAGCTACCTTTATACTTTCATGCACCACCGCCGCCATCTCCTTCTCCCATCTCCAAAAACCTTCAAACCCCTTAGGTAACCCAAAGCCGCCCAAGCACCGCAGCAGCAAAGTCTCACGTGCTGCTTCCTCGTCAAAAGATCAAGAACCGGCGCCGGAAAACACCATCCCTCCGGGCATGACACTTGACCGGAGAAATGTCCTTTTAGGTCTTGGCGGCCTCTACGGCGCCTACAACCTATCCCCTTCTGGTGGCAGCGCCCTGGCTAGTCCGGTCCCGGCCCCAGACATTACCAACTGTGGGCCGGCAACCATTACCTCGAGCACTGAAAAAGTGCCCTATTCTTGTTGCCCTCCCTTCTCCGGCACCGTAGTTGACTACAAGCTCCCGGCGTTCTCCACGCTGAACGTCCGGCCGGCCGCTCACGCCGTAGACGAGGAGCAGTTGGAGAAGTACAAGACAGCCGTTCAGAGAATGAAGGAACTCCCGGAAGATGATCCCCGGAATTTTTACCAGCAAGCCAACGTCCACTGCGCTTACTGCAACGGCGCTTATAAACTTGCCGGCGGTGAGGAATATCAAGTCCACTTCTCATGGCTATTCTTCCCCTTCCATAGATGGTATGCGTATACATATTTTGAGTGTGTTTATTAATTATTACGTATTATTGAAAGTATATATTCGTATAATTCTACTATATCTATCAATTATTAGTCAATAAGTAATTTTAAAATCAATTCAATCGTCCTGAATCCACAGTTCCACACAAACGAAATACTAGTATGATTTTACTAAATGCAGTTTAACAACCATCAAATGAACTTATTAATTGTACGAAAACAAAAAATAATATTTACAATAGCACATTTAAAAAAGTATAAACAAGTGAATGCTATGATGCCCCACTATGTGATAGGATACCATATTTAGAATGCATGTAATTGATTCCTATCATTATTTACCATTGATTTATGTTTAATCTACCTAGTGGTCATCATTTTAAATTGGCCCGTCTTTGATAAGGTGTGGTATATTAGAGGTACCGTAAATTATGCTTGATAAAAATGAAAATATTTGAGATATCTATTTTAATTTCTTAGAAGATTTTGAGCCTATTTGGTGGAACCAAAATCGGCTGATTTAGCTGATTCTGTTGAAATTTATGAAGTTCTGGTTGAAGTAGCTGCATTGGCTGATTCTGCTGATTTAAGAAAAAAATAAATTTAAAGTATATTTTATTAATAAAATAAAGAAAAAATTATATGTAAAAATAGCTAAAATGATCATCTACGGTAACTTCAGCTAATACAGCCAGAAAAGTAACTCCAACCTTACCTTTTCTGCTTATTACACAATTCAGCGCGTGAAAGCAAAACTTACGTGTTTGGTGAAAAAGTTGACTGATAAGCAGAAAACGGTATTGCCAAACGGCCTCTTTGTGTGAAACTTTGATAGTGTAATTATTAAGTACAGAGTGTATTTTTTAAACTAAAAATTTTATATAATCCACACACACATAAATGAAAATGAAAAACTACAGGTCCACATCTTTATAAGTAATAACATTACTAGGTCTGATTAGGTAAAACAGCTAGTGTTATTGGGGTGTTTGGCAAATGGTTGTTGGCCGTTGGCTGATTGTGTTGGTTGATTGGTGACAGCGGATTTGTTAGCTGTTTTGATTAGCTGATAGTATTAGAAGTTTGTAAATTGATGTTTGGTTAAATGGCAATTTACAATCGGCTGATAACTTGTCAAATGACTTTTAAGGATGTCAATTAATTTTTGTTAATGTTAAGCATTACTATCGTATCATATAGTAGAATGAATTAAAACACTTTTAATTGACGATTTAAAAAATAAAGGCTATTTGAAGGGGGACAACCGGGAGGTAACCGGTTGGATGGGGGGATTGAAGTATTTAATTTGGTTGGTGGGTTGGATCGGAGCTTTTTTGGGTTTGGGGTGCCAATTGAGCAATTCGTATACGTTCAGGGGCCTATTTGACCCTTTAGCCAAAAATAAAAAGTTTATGTTCCAAAAAAAGTTTATGAACAAAATTAATAATTACTTTTCACATTTTATTATGAATTGGCAAATTAAGAGGCCATTTCGCAACACTAGTTTTAGGCTTACCAGGCTTATCGGCCAACTTTTTCACCAAACACGTAACTTTTTCTTTCCCGCGCTGAATTGTGTAATAAGCAGAAAAAGTAAGGTTGAAGTTACTTTTCTGGTTGTATTGTCTGAAGTTACTGTAGATGACCATTTTAGCCATTTTTACATATAATTTTTTATTTATTTTATTAATAAAATATATTTTAAAAATATTTTTTTCTTAAATCAGCATAATCAACCAGTGCAGCCACTTTAGCTAGAACTTCATAAATTTCAGCAGAAACAGCCAAATCAGCTGATTTTTGTGCTACCAAACGGGCTCTAAATCAATGTGAAAATAATTTGCTTGAGTAGTGGAGTTGCAAGTAAAAATATACCTCCGAGTACAAAAAAAGTACGTTGTGTAACAAAAATGAAAATTGTATTTATGTAAGCACAATCAAAATAATAATGATCATATTTCCTGATTTGTCTATAAAATAAAAAACTGATTAAATAAGTTAATTAAAGAAACTACCTTGGAAAATTCAATTAAGGTTTACTTGCCATGTGAGAGACGTTAATCATCTCAAATAATTGCTCCACGTACTACTGGTTTTCTCTTTTCCGAAAGAGTTGAAGTGACGAGGGATATAAGAGGGACACCGTGGGTATAAGAGGGATATCGGTTAAATTAAATATTCAAACAACCAAGACCTAAATGGGGCACCGTGGGTATAAAAGGGATATCGGTTAAATATTCAAAACAGCCAAGACCTAAATGCTACTCCATCCGTCCCTAAATTATCTTCAAACTTTCTTTTTTCGTCCGTCCCAAAATTATCTCCTCTTCCCCCTTTTAGCAAAAAATTTGTGATTCACAACCATTCTTACACATTCTTACACATTTCTCTCTCCTCTGCACAACTCTCCACCACACAAATCTCACTATCTTAATAAATGTGCCCAGTCGAAAAGGGAGAAAGATTAGGGACGGAGGGAGTACTTTTATTGGCTTTTTTAATTTTGACTGTTTGGAATAAAAAGCCAAGTGAAAAAGTCAATTAACCAAACACCCTATTAGCTAATTAATTTGGTCAAAAAGCCAAATAGTGATCAAATCAGTCAAAAAGTGGCTAATAAACTCCTAACCAAACACCTCTATTATTAATATACTATCTCCGTCTCGAAAAGGTTGTCATATTGATTTTTCATGGTCAATAATGATGGTAAACTTTTCGGGACAATGTGTTTATTAATAATAACACTGCTTTCCATAAGCAAGCCTAGTCATATTATTACTTATGAAGACGTGTACCTGTATTTTTTCGATTCAATTTATGTATGTATGTGGATTATATAATACTTTTACTTTAAAAATATTCATAATAATTACGCTATCAAAGTTTAGCACAAATTGTTCAAAGGAAATAAACATCTAAAATATTTTCATTGTTATCAAGCAAAATTTGTAGTACCTTTAAGATACAACACCTTGTCAAAAACGGGCCAATTAAAAATGATAAACCATTAGTTAGATTAAACATAAATAAATGGTAAATAATGATAGGAATCAATTTCATGCATTCTAAATAAGGTATCCTATTGTTGGAAAAATGTGTTAAAAATTGCATTAAATGGTCATTTTGGGGCAATTATTTGAGTGGGATCCACTTCCGATTTGGATCGGGTCAAAGTGGTTTCGGATTGCGCTTGTTAAGGGCTACAATTCGATATGTGGTACACTCAAAACGGATAACGGGTGAAAGAGAAATTGATTCTCGAAGTTCACTCGTTGAAATGGAATAACTGGGAAAATGATGAGTTTCTAGTGTGCTTTATCCCACACCGAAAAACTCAAGGGATTTTCACCCCCTTATAAAGGGGAGCCTCTTTTAAGGAGTTAAGATTCCTAAGGGTAAAGGCTTTCTTACACCTAAAGCATAATCCTTTCGCCCTCAATTCTGCTAAATCCTTTGGCGGAAGTCGAGTGAACTTAGAGCGTGTCGTAGGCTGCCCGGACAGCCCTGACTTTGTCCCCGGGGGCTGTCCAATATCTTTTGGATAGCTGCCACTTGATCCCTGTAAGCTGCCACCATTGACAGTCAACGGAGGACCCGTGTTTGACATTAAAAAGCGGCTGGAACGTACCCCTGAAGGATTATAATTCGGGCTGCCACTTCCTCCACTCTGGATGGACAGATTATGCTCCACATCGTGAGCTAATTCCATGGCTTCTTCCAAGTTACCTGGTCGAAACAAGTGTAGCGAGCTTCGGATTGATTCTTTTAGCCCGTTCATGTAGTATTCCAAATAATGATCATCGGACAATCCCGGAACTTGGTTGGTTGACTGAACAAATAGGGTATTGTAGTCCTCCACTGATCCAATCTGTTTTGCACCGGCCAGCCGTTCAAACTGATTCCCCTGAACGTCGTCCGAAAACCTATCATTCAAAGATACCGTCTAATTTTTGTTTCTTCCCGTAACGTTTTAATTTTTCCCAGTGACAGAAGGAGTGGAGTTCTGTCCGGAACAGAGATGCTCGAGTTCTGTCCGGAACAGAAACCCTCGAGGTCTTCTGTTCGGAACAGAGACCCTCGAGGTCTTCTGTTCGGAACAGAGACCCTCGAGGTCTTCTGTTCGGAACAGAGACCCTCGAGGTCTTCTGTTCGCAACAGAGACCCTCGAGGTCTTCTGTTCGCAACAGAGACCCTCGAGGTCTTCTGTTCGCAACAGAGACCCTCGAGGTCTTCTGTTCGCAACAGAGACCCTCGAGATCTTCTGTTCGCAACAGAGACGCTCGAGGTCTTCTGTTCACAACAGAGACGCTCGAGGCCTTCTGTTCGCAACAGAAGGTCTTCTGGTCCGTTACAACAATAAATGCCCAACGTTCTTCTCTTTTAATGCTGTGTTAAATGGACAGTTTATGGACGATTCAATACCCAATGGACTGGTCATTGATGTCCAACGTTCAGGTCCATTAACACCCCATTTAACACACAACAAATCCTCCTATAAATAGCTGGCAGGTGTTTTGCAACAAACACACGGTTTGACAACACACAATACATTCCTCACGTTTTCTTGAGGAATCGGATATTCTAACATGTATGGTAGAAAATGAACCGGATTTTCTAACATGTTTGATAGAAAATGAGCCACGGACTTATACGGAAGCCGTGACGTCTACTGAAGGTCCTATGTGGAAAGAAGCCATCAAAAGTGAGGTAGATTCTATCCTTAAAAATCACACATGGGAATTGGTTGATCTTCCTCCGGGAAATAAACCTTTGGGATCCAAGTGGATTTTTAAACGGAAAATGAAACCTGACGGTTCCATCGATAAGTACAAGGCCAGACTTGTAATCAAGGGATACAAGCAACGTGAGGGTCATGATTACTTTGACATGTATTCTCCTGTGACGAGAATAAATTCCATTAGGATGATACTAGCAATTGCCGCATTGCGGAAATTGGAAGTTCATCAAATGGACGTAAAAGCCGCTTTTCTAAATGGCGATATAGACGAAGAAATCTATATGGAACAGCCCGAGGGCTTTCGTGTTCCAGGCCAAGAAAGGAAAGTGTGTAAATTAATTAAATCATTGTATGGATTGAAACAAGCCCCTAAACAGTGGCACGAAAAGTTCGATCATGCAATGTTAATTAATGGGTTTAAAATAAATGAAAGTGATAAATGCGTCTATGTGAAGAGAACGGTAGACGGCTATGTCATTTTATGTTTATACGTGGATGATATACTCATCGTGGGTAGCAATAATCTAATGATTAATTCTACCAAAAGCATGTTAAATTCTAAATTTGACATGAAAGATATGGGGCTGGCCGATTTAATCCTTGGGATTAAAATAATTAGAGGACCTGACGGTCTTACGCTAAGCCAATCCCATCACGTTGATAAAATCCTTACGAAATTTAATAAGGATGATTATCAAGAGGCAAGGACTCCATTAGATAAAAACGTACAACTTATCAAAAATCGTGGAGAGTGTATTTCTCAAGTAGAATACGCTAGGATTATTGGAAGCTTGATGTATCTAATGAGTTGTACCAGGCCTGATATTGCCTTTGTGGTTAGTAAGCTAAGTAGATATACTAGCAACCCCGGTGATGAACACTGGAAGGTAATAATAAGGGTTTTGAGGTATTTACGTAAAACCCAAAATCTTGGACTGCGCTATGGAAGATATCCAGCTGTACGTGAAGGGTATAGCGACGCTAGTTGGATATCCGACATAAAGGACTCTAAGTCCACAAGTGGATATGTTTTCACTTTGGGAGGTGCAGCCGTATCATGGAAATCCTCAAAACAAACGTTAATAGCTAGATCCACGATGGAGTCTGAGCTAATACCCTTGGATAAGTGCACTGAAGAGGCTGAATGGCTACGCCATTTTCTCGAGGATATTCCAAGTTGGGAGAAGCCTGTCCCTCCAATATGCATACATTGCGATTGTCAAGCGGCAATTGGAAGGGCACAGAGCAATCTCTACAATGGTAAGTCTAGACACGTTCGTCGTAGACATAACACCATTAAACAACTCCTCACAACGGGTGTTATCATTGTTGACTACGTGAAGTCAAAGGATAACATAGTGGATCCGCTAACCAAGGCATTGGATAGAGAATTGTTGGAGAAGTTGTCACGAGGAATGGGACTAAAGCCCGTGAATTGAAAAGTTCTATAGTGGATACCCAACCTAGTTGGTCCTAGGTTCAAAAGGGACAACTAAATTGTAGAGCGAAGATTGTCACTGTGGGGGTCCCGGACTCCTACCCACTCCTCGCTAAAACAGTGACTCCCGCACGAGGTTAGCAAAAACGTTTGCTTTAATGATTCTAAAATGTTGATCTACTCGATAACATTGGAAGAGTATGCGGGATACTCGTGAAAGAATCACCTATGTGAGAGAGAAGAGGGCCGCTTCAAAGGAGAACTGTAAAGGCTCAATTCTTTAGAAACTCTTGCAGAACCAGGACGGTGACCTATGGCCAAAACGGGCACACTCATGAGAACGGAACAAAGTTGGAAGGTTCTTGTGTAAAGATAAGTCAATGTTTACACGACGGCAGTATAGTTCAAGGACATTGAGTCTACTAGACAGCCAGTAAATAAACGTGTCTCTACAACGGAAGGTTCAAATTAAAGGATAAAACCTACCTCTCCGTATGCAAGGATCATCCGGTGAACACAACGTGTCCTCCTATCTTCGTGTCTTTTAAGTCTCGAAAATCAATTTTCATTCATGTGGGGGATTGTTGGAAAAATGTGTTAAAAATTGCATTAAATGGTCATTTTGGGGCAATTATTTGAGTGGGGTCCAATTCCGATTTGGGTCGGGTCAAAGTGGTTTCGGATTGTCCTTGTTAAGGGCTACAATTCGATATGTGGTACACTCAAAACGGATAACGGGTGAAAGAGAAATTGATTCTCGAAGTTCACTCGTTGAAATGGAATAACTGGGAAATGATGAGTTTCTAGTGTGCTTTATCCCACACCGAAAAATTCAAGGGATTTTCACCCCCTTATAAAGGGAAGCCTCTTTTAAGGAGTTAAGATTCATAAGGGTAAAGGCTCTCTCTTACGCGCAGGGGGGGGGGGTGCCGATCAAATCCAGAAACGGAGAAGAAAAACCGCGACTCGTGTGCGCGGGCGACCTGCGGACACGAATGTCGTCCGAAAACCTATCATTCAAAGATACGGTCTAATTTAACACACAACAAATCCTCCTATAAATAGCTGGCAGGTGTTTTGCAACAGACACACGGTTTGACAACACACAATACATTCCTCACGTTTTCTTGAGCGAAAAACACTTCCACCTACTTCCAAATTTCCTAAGTGTTCTTGTTGTGTTCCAGTTCGCCGAAACTTTCGTTTGTGTGCTCAAACGATCGTTCGTTAGCCACCGTATCCTGGGAAACGGTCGTTGCAAAGCTCCTAGCACCGTGGGAGGCGACGAATACGTTTTAAGGACATCGTGCGTAGCACGAGCTCTGGCTAAAATCTGCTCCATCTTATTTTCTGTTTTCTCTTAGCTATTTTGTTTATTTATTAATTTTATTTAATTAATATTTCTTCGTTTTGTCTGAAACACACCCAACACCTATCACATTAGTGGGGTGTCACAACATTCACTTGTTTATACATATTCAAATTATAAATATTATTTTTTTATTTTCGTACAATCGATGCCTTGTTCTAATAAGTTCAATTGATGATTGTTAAATTGCATTTGGTAAAATCATACTAGTATTTCATTTGTGTGGATTCAGTACGATTAAATTGATTTTAACGGGTAAAGTGTACATGTTTACTCATTTCAAAAATGTAATACAGAAACTATGGGGCATACTCCTCATCAAAAGGACATCAAATTAGTTATTGACTACTCCGTAATTGATAGAGGGAGTATTTATGTGCAAGTGTGTTGATTAGAGTTATAGTGTATGCATTATATTTAGTCGCGAATTATGGATGGTATGCATATAATTAGTTGAACGGATCAAAAAGGAAAGATGAGACATACATCTACTCTAGTACAAATCGCATACATGGTTGCTTAGTTATCCACAAAATTAAAATCTCAGACCTGTATTTCTGAGATTGTAAATGTCACCCTCAATTATCTAAATTGTTGTAAATGTGGTCCTTTAAGTGGTGAAATGTACTCTCGTCCACATTGTATATTTCGCCCCTCAAAAAGACTACATTTACAATATTTTAGACAATTGAGCGGCGACTTTTACAATCTCAAAAATTCAAGTATGAGATTTTAATTTCATGGATAACTGAGGGACCATATATGCGATTTTCTCTTTAATTTTTAAAGGATAAGTATACACACACAATACTCATGAAATTAATTATTTTAATAATAAATGAATTTGATCTATTACTGTGCAACACACGCGTAGGAGTAAAAAACTAAAAACAAGTTGATTTCTCTAACTATAGATGATTCTCTAACTAGGATGATTTTTTCTCTATAGAGAAGTAAATTAAAGTATTACCGAGGACCATCTTAAGATCATACATTAATATATATATGACAATATTATTGTGACATTATTATTGAACGGTGACAATTCAGTACCTACCATTCACTTGATTGGTCCAAATCATTTTATTAATTTTAATATAGATTTAAATAATTCAATAGTATGGTACCTTATGTGTACCATAGAATCTACCTTAATTAATACCATAATATGGTACTAGTAATATTCTTCAGGATGCCATCTTAAGATCATATTGTTTACGTGCATATTACAATCGAAAATTACTTCAAATAGGATTAAAACTATGGCAAAAACCCAAAATAGAACTTGTTATGTTTTTTTCAAAATAGAACCATATTAGTCATATTGGAAACATACCTATTTTTTGATTCCATTCTTACCCCTCCTTTAAATATGAGTAAAAGGTAGTCAAAAGTCATAAGTACTTGTTTTAATTCATATAAATTCGTAAAAAATAATAAAAAATCGTAAAAAATTAAAAAAAAATAAAAAAAAAATAAAACAAAAAATCAATTTTTTTATTTTTTTTTAAAATTAAAAAAAATAGTAAAAACCCATTAAAAATATTGAAAACATTATGGATGTCTTTCCCACCGCCTGTACTGCCTCCCTGCACCACCATCTCCGACCGGTGTAAAAATGCCACTTTTTCTGAAAACTGCTATTTTTTTTGAAAATGCCAAAATATGACATATTATTCTTTGAGAATGCCAAAATTTGCATTGAATCTACCATAAATATGGCATTGATAACGGATGTGGTATATTTTTCCCCTGGTGACTGGAAGTGGTGCTGCTGGGGCGGTAGAGGCGGCGGTGGTTTTTGTTTTGCGTTTTTTATATAAAAGAAATATATATATTTTTTAATTATTATTATATATGTAAATATTTTTATTAGTTTTTTAATTAGTATTTTTTACGAATTTTATTATTTTTTATTATTTTATTATGAATTTAAAACATATCAGCAACAAGAGTATATTTGTCCTACACACACATAATTAGTCCTATCAAAATATAGTTTACTTTTTGATCCTATTTGTGCAAAGTAATCACCTTTTCGTCCTATTTTGACAATTAACTCTATTACAAACCTAAATTTTAATGTGATAAAATATAGACACATAAATTTACACACATTTTATATATGTGAAGAGATTTTAGGTGTTTATATTACAAGATCAAATTATTTTGAGTTGGTGTTTATTTGTAGGTACCTTTACTTCCATGAGAGGATTTTACAATCCTTGATCGGGGATCCAACATTCACCATGCCGTACTGGAACTGGGACAACCCACAAGGCATGTTCCTCCCTGAAATCTTCGACGATCAAACCTCACCGTTGTACGATAAGCTTCGTGACCAGAGACATCGAATGGATTTCATCGTGGACCTAGGTTACTCCGCAGGTGAAGCGCTTGACGCGACTGAAATCCAAATCTTGCAGAACAACCTTGCGATAATGTACCGCCAAATGGTGACCAACGCGCCGTGCCCATAACTCTTCTTCGGCAAAGCGCTCCGAGGGGAGGGATACGACACTCAATCTGGTGGCGGGTCTCTAGAGAGTGTTCCTCACAACCCTTTGCATCGATGGGTCGGTGACCCCACAACGGCTCACATCGAGGATATGGGTAACTTCTACTCCGCAGCTAAAGACCCGGTTTTCTATTCTCTTCATGGGAATGTGGACCGGATGTGGTCTGTTTGGAAAAGTTTGGGTGGCAAGCGTCAGGATATAACTGACCCAGATTGGCTACAGTCTGAATTCCTATTCTATGATGAAAATAAAAATCTTGTCAAGGTCAACGTTCAAGATTGCCTTGATCACAAGAAACTTGGCTACAGTTTCCAGGTTAACGAACAAAACATATGGTATTCATGTACTTCATGTCTATTTCATTTGCATATCATCATTAACTTTGTTGTTCATTTTTTGAAGGATATGCCCATGCCATGGATGAACTTCAGAATGACGAGGAAGAAGAAGACAAAGTCAAGAACCACCAATCTACTTGTTCCTTTGGCCATTAACGTAGTACCAACAACCTTAGAACAGACTATAACATTTTATGTGATGAGACCAAAGACAGCAAGATCAAAGCAAGAGAAGGAAGACATGGAGGAGCTATTGAGTCTCAACTTAACATACGATGAAACTAAATTCATTAGGTTCGATGTATTCCTGAATGAAGACAACCTCGTAAAGGAGACCGAGTTGGATCGTGCAGAGTATCTCGGAAGTTTTGGCAACCTGGCTCACATTCATGAGAGTTCCAATGAAAACCAACCAAAGACAACGACATACAACCTGGCAATAACTGAGGTACTTGAAGACTCTGGGCTTGAACTTGACAGAAATGTTGCAGTTACTATTGTACCAAAATATAATGGCCACTTCATGACTATCAATAGTGCCAACATCTCATTGCTACCTTGCTAAGGTATTGCAACTTTGAAATATGTGAAATATGTTGAGGTATGTGAAATATGTGTATATAGAAAAATAAGGTTCGCTAGGTTGAGCCACATTAAGTGTGTTTGTTTTTCAATCCTATTATGTTTAAGAAAGATCTAAACAATCTTCTTAATATCGAAAGTCTATTTAGTAAATATTGGTTGTATATGATGAACTTTGATTTATGTTAGATTTAAGATATTGTATGTGGCTTTCGTTATGATTCTATTTGCGTGTCACTTATTGATTCATTTGATTGTGCTCAATAAACAAATTCAAATATTAAAGATGGTGAATATTATCACAAAGTGCATTTGCAAACACTCCCTTATTATGGCAGGAATAATAAAAATTTTCAAATTATGAGTAAAAATGTTTAAGAATTTCAACCTAGGAATGTTATGTTTTTATTTATGAAATAAGAACAAAACAAGGTACACTCTGATGGAAAAGACTATCCTAGCAGTGATAGCTGCAATCAAGCGTCTGGCATCATACTTCCAGGCCCACCAGGTGACAGTTTTCACAACTCAGCCGCTTGCTACCATCCTGAGAAATTCAATGGCGAGTGGGCGCATAACCAAATGGGCCCTCATGATCGGGCAATATGATGTGGAGTTCAAGCCTATGCCCACGAACAAGAGGCAAGCACTAACTCACTTTATTGCAGTATGTTTCGGGAAGAAAAACACAGAAGTGTTATTTTCGAATTTCAGATTGTGTGTACTTCTGTTTAGGTGAATTTTCCAAATGGAATATCATCAGAATTTGTGACAACCTTGATATATTTTTGGGTGAAGATTTTCTAAATCATACGCTAAGTATATTCATTTTCAATTAGGTAAATTGAATGCCACAATTTTAATGTAAGGTACATGAGGTTCCTTGTCCTGCTTCCGTTTCGTCATCTAACAAAACCAATTTTGTTGTGAAATTTTATTATGAATGAATTTTGTTTCGCAAAAACCCAAATCAAGCGGCAGGCCTTTGTTATATATGAATAGCGGTGCAAACGAGTCGAGCCGAGCCCGAACATGGGTATGCTTGAGCTTGAGCTTGATAAAAATTCACGAGCTCGATCTCGAGCTTGGATGAGTTAAATAATTCGGGCTCCAAGTCGAGCCAAGCTTCGCTCGAGCTCAATTCGAGCTTTGTTCAAGCTCGGGTCAACTTTTGCTAATTATTTTTATAGGTTTGAACTCGAATAAGATGTTCGAACTCGAGCTAAAAATATAATACGTGTATTTTTTGGCAAAAGATAACTTAATTAATATTAAAACTGAGAACCAGATACAAGTTCGCCATAACAAAGGCTATCCTGGGGTGAGACTCAGAGCTGACGCATTTAATAGCATTCCATCTCGTTAACCCTGCGATTTGGTAGACTCCATTCACAGCGATGATGCACCTGCTACTAAAAGGAAACACAAAAACCACAAAGGAGTTCTGAGATGACAACAAATCAAAGAAGAAACATAATCCAGTTTTCCCAACCACTGGCAAGGAAAGAGCGATTTGACCAGCCTCCGCTAAAGGTACTTCCTGCTTATTCGCTACTGGCGGTGCTACCCGGACAACACCGTCACTTCCAAGTTTTTTGGAGTTGCTTCATCCACATTTATACTTGCCTGTGCCCCCTCCTCGCTACCCTTCTCAGTGACTCTGTACTTTCTTGGTGCTTCCTGAGTTGTGGTTATTTCCTTTCCCTTTGATAGGAGTCCCTCCACCAATTAGCTCTCTTGGTCACTTATCGCTTTATCAGATTCTGCTCCCTCATCCCTCCTGTCACCTAGCTTGTTATTGCTAGGAATAAGCCACCTGTTGCCCGGGTGCGATCCCCCTTGCCTCGTATCAGCCCGTAGCCATGACCCACAAGACTTCTCCCTGATCCATGAGCCGCTATTCGGATTAGAGGGACAGAAGCGATCAGCATGACCAAGAATCCCATACAGAAAACAAAAAATTAGGAGTCTCTCATAACGAAAGTCTGCCCAAATCCAGCTATCCCCCTCCTGCCTGACTTATAAACGCCTAGTCAAGGCCATATTAATATTTATAGTGACTCTAATGCGCAGGACGAACCTCTTTTCCCGCCAAGAGAGCTCTCATGCACTTGCACAAACAATCTGATGTTGTTGGCTATTCCACGAGCTGCTCTTAGCTTGCCATCATGTAGCTTAGCGGTAAATTGTGAACCTGAATCCAAAAATCTGCATGATCCAGTGGAATCTCAAGTTTTCTATCAGTATGCCCCACTCATTTGATGACAATAAGATTTTGTTCAAATGATCAAGGTCCTTCATCCACAACTCTGCTCAGGTCACCTTCATGATAAAACTGTAAGAGGAATTTGTAATCCCCAATCTCATCAATTGAAATCAATTGAAATTTCTCTGACTGGTCGCCAAACCATAACCATTGTTGGGCAGAAGGAAACAGTACGAATGAGTTTGTCTGAAACCACTCTAGCCACAGCCGCTAGACATGATCCCTATTTTGTCGCATCAGCATTTTCAATCGGATCGGCTGGGAGCACCAAACCCCTATTTTCCTCCTCAACAATTGAAATCATGCTAACATTCTTCGTAATCATTTCCATAACCACACAAAACGAAACCACAAACACAAACAACGAAGTAAAACACCTACTATGAGTACAAACTCAATTGAAAGCCACTGCAAAAGAGTCCAATCAACAGCGGCGAGTGCTACCCCAGAAACCATAGACACAAACAACGAAGGATAACAATGACTATGAGTACAAACTCAATTGAAATCCACTGCGAAGAATGCAATCAACATCAAAGAGTGTTATCCCAACCGTTTAAATAGAACAGAAACAACACTACAGCCTCGGCCAACCAAAGCCGGAATCAAAAACTTGGGACAGTTGGTGCAGGAATTTGACAACATGGAAAGCTTGATCAGGGCAATTAATGACGTATTTATTAGAATTAGTGCTAGATGATTAATTCTAGCGGTTTCATGTATATTATGAGAGTTATTGTTGTAATTATGGCATAGGTTACTCAAATGACTGACCAGAATTTATGACGACGTAATGACGATTTTGATGTTGTCGTAACGGTCGAAACCGTCAACAACGGACAAAAAGGCATTAAATATCTCTCTTATAAATAGACCCAAGCTCTATGTAATCAGGGGAACCTTCATTCGAATTACACATCAATATACCTCCTATTTTGCTTACTTGACACCCTTCTTGTTGTTCCTGTCATTTTCCTTACCGTTCTTGTACGAAACCCAATCAATATATAATTTCTATTCTAATTAGTTTTAGTTTATCAAAATTTTGCTAAAATAATTTGGCACCGTCTGTGGGAAATCGTGCAAGAAATTTATTCTCCATGGAAGGAACGAGCAACGAAATGATGACCGAATTTCACAAACGACTTGAAACCATTAGGGAAGAAATCCGGCAAGAAATGGCTCAACGGATTGGTTTTCTCCAGCGGGAAAATGACGTATTGCGCTCCCAAGTGCAAACGGTGGCATCCATAACTTCCAACTCAAGATTCACTCAAAGAGGTGACACCATGACAGTGACAACAAGGTTGGATTTGGATTCTATCCCGATCTCAACCGAGCCACTCACTAGCGTGACGACGGATCCCTTGTCTCTCACGTTGGGGTTGTCTCCCACCAGAGATCGTCAATCGGAGCTGTCACCTACCGCCAATCCTCAAGCCACCATCTTCTCGCAAGTCATTCCATATGCTTCGCTCGTGCCAGAAACAACTCCGCCCCCAAACATCCCGGCCTGCTATTTTCCAGATTCCATTCGGACAAGGCCATCGTTCTCAGGTGTACACATCAAACGCTGGTTCAATCCCGACCAAACCCTTCGTCCCTTATGTGGCTGCCGGCATGCCCGGAGAACCAGGATCATCCATGTGCCCTGGCTCTCGTTCCAATCCCAGACGAGGCGCGACCCACAACTCTATAGGGGAGCCTCACATAAGAAGAGTCCCGGTTCATGTTGACATTCCCAGGCATGTCGATTTCACCAGAGATGTGGACTTTAACAGCCAGAGTCAATAGGATCCAGAATTCATTGAAATATCATCCCCCACCAGGCAGGAGGTGGTCCGAGCAGCAGCCTTACCCATCCAGGCAGATCCTCGGGCACGGACACATCCAGTAGATCCCTTAGCAACCATCATGGAAGAATTAAGGGAGATGCGGGAAAAAATCAGCTGCATATCAGGAGTGCCGCTACCATTAGACGTCGCTCGACGAGCACTTTGTCACGGTACGTCAAAATAAATTCAATACTAAACACTTATACGTAGTATAACGTAGTAAAGTTCGTATCCACAGGGAAAGGAATAATTCTCTTTTTATGAAATAAATGGGGGTTTTGGTGATGAATGATTTAATTAAATTAAAAACTAAGATGAACAACCTATATGTGTTAAATTCAAAGATAAAAAGGACTTGGCATTGCTACTTTCCACTTGTTGATATATTTTAGTCGATCATTGCTATATCTATAACTTATTCCCTCTCGAATACTCAATCGGGGAGTATATCCACTTCATCGAGGGTAGTTATTAACAACGACCGTTCATTAATAACCCTTACTATTAATCAAATATAGAACAACGTCTTATACCAATTTAATAGTAGTTTTTAATCTTTCTAACTCCTTGATGAAATCAATTGAGATTGATAACCTCAACACAACGGTTTTGGTTTAACCAACGAAATTAATCCCTCTTAAGTTTATTAACCACGACCGTGCATTAATAAACCGAAGTTACTTACTTGTGAACTCATCAACGATTAACCATCAGTTCGTTGATCGTTTCTAGTAATAATTAATATATGAAACAAAACTAGTTGATCCTTTAAGTAATGTTCAAACTATTAATATGAAATCTGAATAGGAATTAATTAATATTCAAGGAAGAATATCATTAAAGAAGATGAATCCTACTATAATTAATATCAAGATGTTAACTAATTGTCATCTTAGCAACACTCCCCAACATTAATATAGAGGAAGAAAATACTATTCTAACTAATGTCGAGATGTTAACTAATTGTCATCTTAGCAACACTCCCCAACATTATTATAGAGATGGTATTAAGGAAAGAACTATTAATTAATATTCAAGGAAAGAAGTTAAGAAAATAACTCACAACTTTAATAATCAACAAGCTTCAAGAGCAACACCAAGAAATGGAAGTTTAGCTCCTCATTTGGAGACTAAACATGCTATAAA